CCCAGGTCCCGCACTCAGTTTCCCTCCCACACTGAGACTCACCCTTCTGCGAAGAACTCTGGGAAAGGCCAGGTCCGATGGGCATCATCCATGGGCGGCCAGTGGCCACGGGGGTTGCCTGGGCGGCGACCATGCTGGACCTGCCGCTTCTGCTGCATTGCCTGGCTCACTCCTGCCACATAGCGTGCAAACTCGGGGTCCGAACCCACTGTGTTAAGACAAAGGGATACATAGGGTTTGGAGCCAAATTGGACTCTTGTTTCCTTCCCTAACTTCTGAGGATGTGTTGGTCACACACACAGTAGAAAATGGTGAAGGGCTGCCAGGGTTGTGGCCCAGAGCGGGCTGCAGGTGAGATGCGGTTCTCAGCATGTGGGTCTGAAGATGGGCTATGGTGCGTGTGTGCACAGGGACTGTAAGAAAGGGTTATGCCTAGGATAGGGGCAGGCTGAATGTGAACAAAGAAAGAGTACACAAAAGGCTTGCTTTAGCCACGACTACGTTTTAAAGACAAAAACTAGTTACTTTAAAGTTTTCCAGTGTCTAGTGCTACGTGCTTAACAACTTAGAAAATCAGACGATGACTTCAGCCCCGGAACGTTACTAAAGCATCAGGATCAGCGGCAGAGAATACATGCCCTTCTCCCTTGGGCCCAACTCTGATCCAGTATTTTCCTGGATATTAATGGCAGACCTGCTCACTCAGTCTGAAGATAATAAGGATGGCAATGAATAGGATGAAATTTAAGAATGCTTTAAGAGGTGGATGGAAATGTACTGGACAGAACTGAGGAAGGATGTGCAGGGCAGTACAAGCAGGAGAAAAAGGCACAGGAGGCATTTAGAGAAAGAGTCAAACAGAAAGATGTGGTAGGAAAACATCCATGTCACAAATACTAGGGCACCCTCCGCTTGTTCTCTCAGGGCGCTGCCTCAGGACCACTGCATGAGCCTGAGCCATTGGTGCACTGCACAAAGACGTCCACACGGGGGAGAGCTGGGGCTGTGTGGGCTGGGGTGGGGGTGGGGTTACTCGGTTCTGCTCGACCCATCCAGAGTGCCCTTCCTTAGTTTGCAAAAAAAGGACTACATACACGTTATGCCCCTGGGGTGGTGTCTGCAGGAAGCTCCATTAGGGACTTGAAGGTCAGGAAGGAGCATCCAGGACGAGCAGCTGGGAGGATTCCTAGGCTAAAGATGTAAAGGCTGTCTGGGACTTGGATAGAGATCAGAGGTGGTAAAGTTCTGCCAAACACCATTTATACTCTGGATTTAATTACATGACTGCTAGAAAATGGACAGACTGTTTATCAGCAATTGAGAAAATGTGCCATGCCCACCGTAGTGGCAGCAGCAGGGCAGCGTAGATCTGTGTGCCCCTCCTGCGCCCCAGGGGACAAGGCTCCCCACAGGCACCCAGCCAAGGAAAGCAGGAACAAGAGAGCATGTGAGGAATTTTGAGAAGACGTACGAAAGCATTTCTTTCCTGTAATAGTTAATGTTGGGTTAATAGTCAAGCAGGGAATCTCCTCTTCTGGTAGTTATTTATATAAATATTTGCTATACTTATTTACAATATTTCACAGTGCTCCCCTTGTGAATGAAGTATATTTTCCACTTCCATATATCCTTTGCTAAATTAGAGGGAAAAAGTAATCAATTTCTACATATTTATCTGGCATCTACCCACTTTATCAGATTCATTTACTAAATTCTAGAAATTTTTTGAGGAATCTTGTTTTTTTCAGTTTTATTGTGAGCAAAGAGATGTGCTTTTTAACCTATTCTTTTTTTAGAATAATCAATTTTAATTCCACTTTTTCCCTTTGTTTTTGTCTTGCTACATTTGCTAGAAAGTTCAAGACCAAGTTACATGCTATTGGTAGAAGCAACTGTCAGCCTGTCTGGGTCTTGATTTTAGCTGGAATGATTGTTTCACTATACAAAGTACTACCTGCTCCTGGCTTTTGGTAGATAAGTCTCTTTTACATTCAAGACATTTTCTTCTATTCATGTTTTACTTCCGGGGGTTTACATAAGAATTGCTGGTGTCTTTTACCTACTTTCTTTACAGCATCTACTGCTGCATGAGTGTTTCTCACTTACTGGTTGAAGTGACAGATAACAATGGCGGAGCCCTTTATCCTGAACTACCTTACACTCCTGAAGTAAACCAGGTCTAACTTTTTCCACGCACTGTTAGATTTTCTTGCATCTACCTACACTCACAAAAAGTGTTTATGGTAAAATCATGTTTGCTTTCCCTTTCCAATCTCTCATCCTGGAATAGATCCAGGAAGGTTTTACACTTCCTGGTGCAGTTTTTGGTAACGTGTGCTTTCTTAGCAAAGAATCCATTTTCCATTCAGTTTTCAAATACATTGTCATTAAGTCATATGTAGATGTCTTTAAGTCCTTTTAATCGCCCCTGTATCTGCAGTTATGTCTCCTTTTTTTCCTAATTTTGTTTCTTTTTGCTCTCTCTTAATTGGGCTTACAATAAATTGGTTTCTCCATTTTATTGGTCTTCTAAAGATCCTTCTTTTAGATTAAATGTCTACTGTATTTTAATTCTGGCTTTTATCTTCTTTTAAAAAACTGAAGTATAGTTGATTTACAATATTGTGTTAGTTTCAGGTAAACGACAACTTTTATCCTTAATTAACTCCTCCTCCTAGCTTGTTTTTGTTTTGCTTTTAAATTCTTTTTCTAATTTCTTAAGACAACTCTGGTGGTATTTTCACACTGTCTGGGCCAGGAGAAGCCATAGTCTATGAAGGCAGGAGGGTGCCTTACCACCTTTCACAGGTCCTAGAGTTTAGGTTAAATAATAAAAAAAAATCACAGAATAGGTTATATAACCAGGAAAAAGCAGTCAACAAAGGGTCAGCCACCATGGCTCCCAAAAATGGGAGGACCAGATTGGAGTGCACTTGAACTATGGGACCTTGAGCCATTTAAGTAGCTTCTCTTAGCCTCCAGCTTGTCCTCTGTAAAGTGAGAAAATTCCATTTACTTTCTCAGACTCATTCTCACCACTGCTCCCTACCTTTGATGGATCTGCCCCACATTTGCCACCAGATAGTGAGAAAGGTCTTTAAAGGGGGATTAAGTCACGGCCTCCCACAAGTAAGACTGTGGCAGATGGGCTCTATGAAGTCTGTGGTGATTACATTTATGTTAAAACTCCAGGGTGGGGACGGAGGCTCACATACCTGCAGGATCAAAAGGCAGAATCTCTCCCAACATTCCAAAGACTCCATCGCTTTGGTCACGGTTTGGCCAGGTGTTATTTCTAGGTCCCTGTGGCTTCTGCCCCAAAACCTCTGACATCACATTATCCATATAGCTGCTCACCAGACCCAAGCTGTACAAGTCAGAACTGAGATCAGACATGCCAGGCCACTGGCCAAGAGGAGACAGACCCGCTCCAACGGGCTGTGCTGGCTGCTGGGATGAGCCGTGTACCCATTTCCCAGGGGCCCGAGGCTGGGGTGGGGGCGGCTGTGGTCCAACGGGTTGGAGCAGGTGTTGGTAGTACTGGACTTGGGGTTGTTGCTGCTTTGGGGACTGCTGCTGAGGTGCCAGGCCCGGCTGGGGTGTCAGGGGTGTATGTGCCCCAGCCTGAGGTGGCCGCGGTGGAGGGGGCACTGGCAGTGACGGCTGCTGCGGCTGCATGGCTCCTGCCTTCGGCTCAGTCACCATGGCTGTGACAGCAGAATTACGTCTTGTCACCAATGGGGAGCCCTGATGTGACTGGCCCATGTTAAAGCCCGAAAGAAAATCTATCACCTCCTGCATTTCCTGATCAGTTGGTAAGTTCATTCCCTTCTCATCCTTGCCATCATCCACTTGCAGGAAGTTGTCACGCCTTTCCATGAGAAAACCATTGGCCATTTGATTACTGGAATTCTGAGCTGACTGTGAAGGGTCTGTAGTCCTAGGGAAACTGCCAATGTTCAAAATGCTTTGTAACCTTGAGTCAATATTACTGGGCATTTTGGCCTTCTCTTCTGAACACCCAGCTATGAAGATATTTTTGGAAGGGGTATTTGGAATGGAGTAATTGGTGCTGCTGCTGGAGCTAGTACACGAAGCTTTCTTGGTGAACCGGGACGTCAGTTTGGAGAATGTCTTCTGCAGGCCACCTGAAGATTTGTTTCCATTCCCAGAAGGCAGGTCAGTCTGATTCCCAAAATCACAGATCTCTCTTTGAAGCTGGATTTGTATGCAGGGTAAAGCTTGTTCCCTGTTTAAACAGGAATGTATTTTTTAAAAAGACAGATACACAAAGTGGACAATGAAATGGACCTCTTTGGTATTTAAGAAAGACTTTAAGAATAAAAAGATCTCTGTTGGTACCAGGTTCACTAATTTTATAGCTAAATAGATAGCCAAGAGTTTTAAAAGTACATAATTTAAGCATTTACTATCTACATTTATCACAAAAAAATCCACCGTGTCTAACACAAGGCTGTGAAAACTACATTAGGATTCTAGCCTGAGGAATTTAAGTGAAACCGTCTGACTGCAGCACAAGAAAGCAAAGTGTGGCTGGGGTGGGAGACGCAATTGGTAGAGGCCAGTTGTGCACCCGGATCATGGTGACAGAGTCTGGCAGATCCAGCAGAGAAACCATGGACAAATCTTCACAGCAGAGGGGGTGAGTGGGCAGGACTCAGGGACACCACGCAGCACTGTTGTCTTTAGAATTTACAGACAGTGCCAGCAACAGATGGTTGTTACTTCCAAAGTTTTCTGAGCACTTTTTCCTAGTACTGAAAGAAAGAAAGTCCTAGAGATAGAAAGGGCATGGGGTGGGAGCTGGGTAGGCGATGGCTGGTGTGACCCTAGGTAAGTCACCTGACAGAGTTCAGGGCCTTTGCACGCTCATGAGTGAAGAAAGGGGGAGGGCATGGCTAGATCATTAAGGTTCTGACTGGTTCTAAAGCTAATTCACAAAGAGGTAATCTTGCAGCTGTCAGCTACTTTCAGATATAAATAAATTTCATGTAAGACATAAGTAAATTTTCTAAACATTTCTCTACTCTTAGTTCATAAGGAGAATGTGGGTTGGGTTAAAATCTTCTTGATGAATTTAACTCTGAAATGATAAAACAAACGAAGGCAAAAATGTTAACTACCTGGGGTATCTGGGTAAAGGGCATAGAGTAATTCTTTGTAACTTTTGCAACTTTTCTGTAAGTTTGAAATTATCCCAAAATAAAAAGTTGCCCCAAAGTTCCTTTTCTTGCCTTAATTACTCACATCCTAACAGTGACCTGAGCTCACATGACCATATATATCCATATGGTCACACTGTCCCTAGGTGTGGACCTGAATGTAAACCAATTCGAGTGATAGGTGGGGACACCAACCTCCCTGCCCTCCAGCGGGTGAGGTCCAGCACAGCCGTGTACAGCACGTCCACCAGACCCAGGGTCTTCTCAGGATCGAGGCTTCTCTGCAGCAGGGACATGGTAGCAGGGTCTTCTTTCAGGCACCTAGGCACAAGCCAGGCTGTGTTAGTCTGGGCTGCCCTTCTCTGCAAAGGTATTTCAAGCAGGTCTTGTACAAAAAGGCCACAACTTTTATGTACTTTTGGCAAAAAATAAAAGTTTAGCAATTGTAAGAACACTTGGAGGATGACAGGGCTGACAGTTAACTTGCTGCTCTGCGAGAGGAGGAGGAAGCAATTGGGTCTGGGGTCTCTAGAGATTCTAACTGTCCAGAGTCTGCTTAGTAGGAAGAGGAGAGTTTGGTGGAGGCGCTGCTTTGCAGGGGCCCTAATGCCCTCTCACTGTCCAACAGGCTTCGGTCCTGACTTTCCTCTCCACGCTGCTGAGATCCTGTGGTCTGGCACAGTACCTACTTCTTCACAAACTTTTTCCATAACACCCTACCCCTCCCTTCCTCTAGAGCAGACCTGTACCTGAGAAACCAAAGGTCAGGGGAGGGGAAAAAAAATTTGCCAACCTGGACTCATGGCAAATTTCATATAAGCAACAAACATGGTCTTCCCATAAATTAATTTTTTCCCTTTCCAAGATGACTATTTCACACCCCCGTCTCCTCAGAGCTCTGCTATTGCTGCCATCTTCCCTTCTGTCCTAGCTCAACTCTCACTTAATTGAGAAAACACATAAGCAGATGAGATCTATTTCAGCTACCCTCACCACTAACTCCACAGCTCACCAGTGTCTGCCCACTCGCCCTGCCTTCTCCCGCTGTCATAGCAGAAGACACGCCCCACTTTTGCCACAGGCCGACCCTCCACCCGGGTACTGCATGCTATGTAGCCTCTTGCTTTCCAAAGGACCTCTTCGAGTAATCACTCCATTTCTCCCCGGTGATACTCCTTTTGGCAAACAAACCAGCCTCACCAACCACCTTCCCTTAGCCCCACATTCTGCTCCAGATACGGCCCCACTTCCGTTAAATGCTCCCCATTTTAACACACTGTCTCCTCCTCTTCCTTACCCCCTATACTCCTCTCACCCACTCTCACCAGGCTTTCATCCCCCTAACTCCATGAAAACAGCTTTTATCAGACAACTGAGATCTTGCCAAAGTCAGGGTCAGTTACCGGTCTCCACTGTATTCAATCTCTCAGCAACGTCATGCAATGTCTCTTTCCCCCTGGATCACTGTCTTCTGCAGCCTTGGTGACCCGACTTGCTCAATTTTCCTCCCACCTGTCTGGCAGCTCCCTTCTGGTCTCGTGCCCCTCCTTCCCCTCCCTCTGTATGCTGGCACACTCCAGGCTTCGCTCTTTCTTCCTAGAGGACTGCATCTGATCCTGTGGCTTTTGAGTTCCCTACACTGGAGACTCAAATTGTTTTTGCCAGTCTAGACCTTCCTCCTGATCTCCACCCTCACATATCTAACTGCACACTCAACAGCACTCCCCACACACCTACTAGGCAGCTCAAAGGGAGCCACAACCCTTGATCCCTCTCCTCCCCGCCAAAGCCATTCTGATTCCTATGATTTCCTCAGTAAGGACACAACACAACTGTCTACCTACAAGTCATCTCCAGCTTCCTCATTCAATCTATCAGCAAACCCTGACAGCCTTTCTTCTAAAACATAATCCAAATCCAGGCCTCCCTCATTCCTGCTCTACTCCAGGAAACCACCACCACCTGCGTCTCAGGGCCAGCCTCCCACCTGGTCTCCTTTCCTCCACTCTTGTACCTCCAGGGCCCATCCTCCGCACAGCAGCAGACTGAGCCTCCTGCGGCGTGAATTGGAATATACCACTCCCCTGTTTATTTAACACCCTCTAGTGGCAACCCATCATGACTGAAATAAAATCCACACCCCTCACACCACAGCCCTGAAGGCTCTTTGTGACCTGGCCCTCCTGCCTCTCTGGCCACACCTCTCTTCACCGTCACCCCTATTCACTTTGTTCCAGCTACAAGTCCTTCTCATGTGCCCTGAATATGTTGGGTTTGCCCACATCTCAGGACCTTCACCTTCTCCCGAACTGCTCCCACATGAAAGCCGATTCCCACCATTCAGGTCCCCACTGCCCATCCAGGGCACGTTTACCAAGAGGCCTTTTCTGAGAGGGAGAACCAGGAAGATGCTATCTGTCTGTGCCTGGGCACTCTGGGAGTTACACGGTGAAGTCAGCACTTGCGAAGCCGTCCTAAGGAGGCAGCAGTCCTCTACAATGATACTCTGGCTTGAGAAGAAACCTATCTGTGAGGATGTGAGCTGTCTAGCCTCAGAAACACTGGAAAAAGCATGCAGCAGGGCAAGCTCTGCCAGTGCCCAACAAGATCCTGGACTCCTGGGAGAGAATCCTGGCCAGCGGACCTGGCTGAGGCTCAGGCACCCGGTTCTCTCAGCCTGGAATCCTGATTACCAGGATATACTTGCTCTTTGCTCCCAAGCCAACTTCTGCTTGTGATCTGCCTGGCCACACGTGTGCCCACTGGGAGAGCATTTTCTGGTCATGTGGAAAGAAGTGCTATAGTTCCTGGCAGCAATACTTTCTCTTTCTGAAAATCAACACATTGGCATTTTTATTTTATTCATCAGTCTTGAGAGCTGACAATAAAATCCCTTTAAGAGACTAAACTCATTCTTTTGATAAATCACCCAGACTGGCTTAAAACCCCCTACGTGTTCTTAGATAAAATCCAAGTGCCTCAGGGACGCTGCAAGTCCTGGGTCCTGTGTGAGAACCCTGGGAGGTTCTGTGACTTCCTGTCTTCCTCATCACCGGGCACTTCTCCAGCTAGGCCAGTTCATGCCTCAGGCCTTTGCACTTGCTGTTTCTTCTGCCTGGAATGCTCTCCTTATCTGCTCTCTGCATGGCCTGCTCCTCTCAAATGTCACATGCTCAAAGAGACCCTTCATGTCCGACCTCCTCGTCCAAAATAGCCTCCCCCCCACCTCTACCCCGGCTATTCTCTATCAGATGACGTCACTCTACTCTTATTCCCCTTGTGTGCTGGCCAGTGTTTGAACTTAACACCTATGCTTATTAGCTGTCCCCTCCCTGACCGCCACTCCATTACAAAGCCAGCTCTATTAGGAGCAGGGACCCTGTCTGTCTTGCTCATGATTAAATTCCCAGAGCCTAGAACAGTGTCTGTCATACAGTAGGCACTCAATAAATATTTGCTGAAAGAAAGAATGAGTGAATAGCTTAAATATGACAGTTTAGAAATCTAAGTAAGGCATTACTTTGGGGGAAAAAAGTATCTGGCAGCTAGACACTTCATTTTATTAAAAGCAAAGCATATAATAAATTCTTGACTAGCTTTGCTAAGAATTTCATTTTTTCCAAAGATGGAGTAAAGCAATCACTTCTTTTCTTCTTCTCAACAAGCCCACATTTTGTAATACTTCAAGAAACAAAAACATAAAACTGTATTTTTACCAAAAGTAGCCAGTAGAGGGAGCCCCTCTATATACTCACAGTCTATGAGGTCTTTCATGGAGGTAAAATGAATTACAAAGGAAATGAATCATACAGGGAGAGTTTTAGAAGCAAACTGCAGTGTTAATCATTTTAGCACTCACTATTTATATTCACCCAATCATCAAGAGCTCAAAATTCTTCCTTTAAAAGGAGAATCCTGGTTAACCTTAATATTTTTCAATAAGAACTTGAATTAGCAAATAAATTAAGAATTCTGGAACACAAAAATGTTACAAAAAAGTGACCTTCTAATTTATTGTTTGACAGGAATGAAAATATGTACTTATATTAACATTACACCATTCTCTATAATCAAATTTCAAAATTTGGGGAGGAAACTCACTGAGGGGAGGTTTTGGGGCATGAAGTGAATTGCCAACCCTTACTTGAGACATCAATAAGTTCTAAAACTTTTGGCAGAATCTACTACTGGACTCTCACATTTCAAAAAGAGATGTTTCAGGTGGAGGGTGGGAAGGGATAGACTGGGATTCAAAATTGTAGGATAAACAAGATTACACTGTAT